ATTTAATTGGAGACCAGTTTCCTGCTGGCATTTCAGTGAACCAGAGATGTGTGTCTTTCTCTAGGGGATCAGGCCCTGACCTCTCCTCACCGGCTGCAGATCCGCTTAGAAAAATGAAGCCTTTCATGTCCACAACACTGAGCAGCTCAGACTGTTTTGTTCTGTCAGAATGAACTTAACAGGCCAGCTGGTGGCTTTTAACATGAGACGCTTGTACTTGAATACAGTGTTCCTGCGTCCCCCGTTAACTCTGCCTGGTATGGACCTCTGTATCAAAACGAAACGTTGTTCTGCCAGACCCGAGCCTGTTTGTGTGATTATAATGAGTCCTTCAGAAACCTCACCATCAACCGCATGAAAATTAACAGCAAAGTGTGTCATTTATGCACCACTAGTGCTCACTAGTTTGTTCTGAAAGTCATAGAGGTTTGGTACAAAAGGAGGGTGAGGAAATGATGACTGAAACAATGATTTTGTTTTTGGGTGAACTGTCCGTTTAAACTGGGGTTTTCCACCAAGTGCATGGATCAAAATAGTTTGGCAAAATAGTTTTATAATTCGGTTTAAGGCTAATAACTATTAAAAATCTGATTAAACAAAGATCCGCTTTAGTACAAAATGTTACATATGCACAGTGCATCATGCCTAAGAAGGATCTAAATCAGATTTGCATTTACTTTATATAATTACTCGTGGCCGTGCACATTAGCTGACACTGATGCTATTTGGATGCTAAGGCAAATTGTAAAATGTATCAACCATTTTAGCCTTTTATTCACATTTCTTAAAAAAAATAAATCATACAAGAATTTTGTGATTATTAATTCTGTCATTTATTTAAACCACACTGGTATTTTTCTGGGGAACACAAAAATAAAAATGTTTAAGACCTTTCATATAGTTCTTTACGTATAATCAACTACAGTGGGTATAGAAAAGATAATCACATTTTGTTGCTTTGCCGCCTGAAATGAAGACGGACACAGTTTTTGTTTTATCCAGCTGTATTGGTGATTTTTTCAATTTTTTATTGAATGATTGATTTTTTATTTATGCCAAACAAGGCCATAATCATATTCAGAACATTAGGGGGACTATTGTTTTGAGGAAAATATTAAGACCAGACCACTATGGTAATGGTAAAGGAACTAAATAAATAATACGATTTTTTGTAAAGTAATCAATCTGAACTGCAAATAATATTTTTATTTTAAAAATATGCACCCATTCAATTTTAGTTGTATTCCTAATATGTTGAAAACGCAAGACAGAAAATGCTATTGTCGTCACAATAATTATGAATTACATGAATCACGTAAATGACAGCCCAACTTTCAATTCAAAACGGCAGAATTTGACAAAAGAAAAAAAAGGCGAATACTTGATAATACAGTCATAAGACTGTTGCTATAGTAAGTAATTCTTACATTCAACATTAACAGCAAGTCAAAAGGGGTAAGCTTTCAACTGAACTGTATAGCCTACATGCATTTTAGACGCTGATATTACGTTCTTACCCAGTCCATGCTATGAATGCACGTTATTGAATGAGCGGGTTTTTTTAGAACATTAATTCAACTGCTCAGGTCATTTCAGTGGTAGGCTATGTTAAAACTGCTCAGGTAATTTCAGTGGTAGGCTATGATACATATTTGTGTATTAAACTCCTTGTAACTCGCAAACTCCCCCTGATAGCGCGCAAATATTTCTGCCCATTTTCGCTCGTTGTCAGCCTCTGCTTTTCTGCAACAGACTGAAGCTCCGCGTGAATTCAGTGCGCCTTGCATTCAGCTAATAAAAGAAAAATGCTGCAATTTTCTGGAGTTATTTTATGATTGTTTGGGCAGTCTCAAACTATAGCTTCAATTTATCAAAATACATTCCGCTTCAGATTAGTTTTAATCTATGCACAAAAAAAATTACGTAATCTTTATCTAATTCTGATTGGGTGGGCAAGACAGTCATTTGGGTGGGCTCAGCCCACCCCTGCCCATGCCTGGAGCCAGCCCCCTCCTATAAATGACTTAGGTGTAGCTAATCACCTTCTCAATGGCACACAAAGCCATTTGACTTTCAGATGTGACCAGCTGTGGTCATTTTGATCAGCTCAGCATGAAAAGAGCTTTCCTGGAGCATTTCGGTCCTTGGAAGTGCACCTGAACCTGGAGCATTTCAGTCCTTGGTAGTTCAACTGAAACAAACAATCAACTATGGGTGGCAAGGCACTGTCAAAAAAATCTCCGGGATAAAGTTGTGGACAGACACAAGTCAGGAGACGGATACATACAATTTCAAAGGCTTTATCAATGCCTAGAAGCACATTGAAGTCTATTATTAAGAAGTGGAAGGTATTTGGTAAAACACACGAAGATTCTGAGGCAGATGAGACTAAAATTGAATTATTAGGCCTCAACAGCAAACGATATGTCTGGCAGAAATCCAGCACAGCTCACCATCCAAATATCAGCATTCCTACTGTAAAGCATGGAGGTGGTAATATCATGTTATGGGGTGTTTCTCTGCAGCAGGGACTGGAGGAAAATCTGCTGCCCTCTGCCAGAAAGTTATCAATGGTACGAAGGTTTACCTTCAAACATGACAATGACCCAAAAGCACACAGCAAAACTGAGCACACAGTGGTTAAAGGAGAAAAAGGTGAATGTCCTTGCATGGCCTAGTCAGAGCCCAGACTTAAACCCCACTGAAAATCTGTGGAATGACTTGAAGACTGCAGTCCACAAACGGTCACCATCAAATTGAACTGAACTTGAACAGTTCTGCAAAGAAGAGTGGGCAAATATTGCAAAGTCTAGATGTGCAAAGTTAGTAGAAACAGAGGCATATCCCAACAGACTAAACGCTGTAATTAAAACAAAAGGTGATTCAACAAAATACTGACACAAGGGGCTGATCCTTTTTCCAACTCGGTGATTCTGATTTTGTTTGTTTGCTAGTTTTTGGTAACACTTTATTTCGATAGTCCACTTTAGACATTCTATTAACAGTAAGTAACTTTGCAACTACATGTCAACTAGCAGTTAGTAGAGTATTAGTAGACTGTCTGCTTAATATCTTCTAACACTTTCTTTGTCAACTTATTCTACTAACCCTAAACCTACCCTAACAGTCTACTCTGAGAGTTAGTAGACATGTAGTTGCAAATTAATGAGAATTAGTTGACATGTAGTTGACATGTAGTTACAAAGTTACTTATAGTTAGTAGAATGTCTAAAGTGGACTATCGAAATAAAGTGTAACCTAGTTTTTTTCTGACATGTTGGTGTTATATCTTTTACTTGGATGTTATAAGTTGCACTGAATAAATACAGCTGGATAAAACAAAAACTGTCCATCTTCATTTCAGGCTGCAAAGCAACAAAAAAGTTATTATTTTAAAGGGGGGTGATTCTTTTCTTTACCCACTATATGTATTTTTCCTTTAATACATAGTTAATTATACTCTTACTGAGTTATTCTAGCATAATTTATATTCGATAATAGTTTTTGTTCATATTTTGAATTAGATTTTAGTTGTATATTTTCTGTTTTCATTTTTTTAATTTTAGTTTTAGTTATTTTTTTGTGTCCATTTAGCATTTATTAATATGTTTTACTTATTTATATTTAGTTATTTTAGTACTTCAACTTAAACAAAAATGAGAAATTTTGCCTTTTATATATATTTTAATAACATTTTTTTTTTAAGTAATATAGTATTTTTTTCCATGTTTCCAATCATTCAATTTTTTTTTTAAATAAATTAAAAGATCTGGAAAAAGGAACATCACACAGGGTTATTATCACTGACTAATACTAAAAAAAAAAAAAGGTTTAGTTAATGATAATAACCCTGTGTTGCATTAGACTGGAGTAAACCGTAATGTAAACTGTAGCTTCCTCCATCTGTCTTGTTGTTGAGATATAAGCTGACAGCAGCGATCACTCTGAAGCTGTACTAACTAATGGATCTTTTAATTTATTTAAATTATAATTTATTAATTTTTAAATTAATAATTAATTTAAATTATAACATATTAATGTATTTAATTAAATAATTAATATGTTCATAGTATTTCTTTTTATTTATTAGTTTTAGTCTATTTAGCTATTTTAGTACTTCAGCTTGATGAAAAATGTTGCCTTGTTGACCAGCTGAAATAAAATACGTTTTTTAAATGTTATTTCAGTTCATATTTATTTTATTTCAAGTGATGAAAATGTTTTTTTTTATGGTTTCAGTTAACGATAATTACTCTGTTACAGATTACATTTATGTTATATTGATAAACTGATAAATTATCATTTTCAACATGTACATAGATGCAGAAAAAGTAGTCTAGTTGGCTCTGTAGGCTGTGCGAGCCAGTGGGGTGTTGAGGCGGAAAATGAAGGCCTGTAGGCCCAGAGCTACAACAGGTGCAGAGGCTGAGCCGCTGACGGCTGGAGATTAAACCATCACACTGAAGGTCAGAGATGGAGCGAATATACTGCAGATCACCAGAGCCGCTCTGACACTTAATGACTTCAGCTTTCTCACAACCTCTTTATTATGTGGGGTTCATTCTTCATTGTTGTTTTTATTATTATTTATAAAACAAGCTACTTGATTGGATGCTTTTATATATTATTATTAGTAGTAGTAGTATTTTCTTCCAATATCAGACTAATCAGATTGATACCAGTCTTTTCAAATATAGACATTACAGTATGGGGTGAGAAAGAAATTAAAACGTTTGTTCAACGAGGATATATTAAACTGATCAAAAGTGACAGTAAAGACATTTATGATGTTACAAAAGATTCTATTTTAAATAAATGCTGTTCTTTTCATCAAAGAATCATGAAGAAATGTATCACGGTTTCCACAAAAAATATGACAGTGCACAATTGTTTGCAACATTGATAATAATCAGAAATGTTTCTTGAGCTTCAAATCAGCATATTAGAATGATTTCTGAAGGAAAACTCTGATTTGGAGTGGGATTGAGAGCGTGACCCACCATGTTGGCGAGGAGAGCCGTGGAATGTTCGTCGAGGCTGATGACTCCCTCCCCCAGGTGATGCCGCTTCAGCCGGTTTGAGAAGGTCCTCAGCTCGCGCTCTAGCTTGGCCCCTGAGTCCACGTTTGCTAGAAGCTTCCAGAAAGGCAGCCTTCAGGGAAATACTATATTTGTTAGAGTGCAGTTCTCAGATTGAAGTAACACTCAGGTTAATTTTAAAAATGCATTTCTTGAAATAACATAAACATTAACTAAATTAAAATAAAGCATTAAAAAAAACTTGAACGTATTGTATTTCGGCTAGTCGGCAAGAAAATATTTCTAATTTCCATTTAAAGTTTCAAGTACTAAAATAACTAAAACTAAATCATCTAAAACTAATAAGTATTAATAATGTATATACACACACACACACACACACACACACACATACATATAACAGTTCTTTCTGGTCCTCGAATCTGATTGGCTGAGAGGAGTGTGCTATTCCAGCGATAACAGAACTGATTCACCATTTGTATCACTCCGCTTGCGGTATTTCTCACTATAATTTTATAAATAATTCTGTCACGGAAATTAGTTTTAAGAGTTTTTTAAAGCTAGAATGTACTTGTTTAGACTTGTTCAGCTGTTAAACTGTCAAACTGAGATTTGAATCCATGGCGGAAGGAAGTAGTTCTGCACAGAATAGGGTTTTTAAAGACACTCCGTTGTTGTTTCTTATGTAATTGCACACTCGTGCCGTCGAACTGTTGTAGAAATGCAATATCACACTCGTAGCCGTGCTATATGGCTGTATATCAGCATGGCTGTGATTACCTACGGCCGAATCACAGCCGTGCTGATTTACAGCCATATCGCACTGCTACTCGTGTGATATTGCTCATATATAGCAGTATTATAATTCTAGAATGTTATTTATTTCTTTATTTATTCATTAATTAATTAAATCATTTTTATTTATTAGTTCATTTATTTCCATCAAAAATTAATAAAAAAAAAAAATCATATTATTAATTCAGGAGGCATTTACACAATACTGTTTTCAACTAAAAATGGAAAACTTTTAATTCTGTTTTGGCCGTTCAGTTACATGATAATGGCGTTTAGGGGGCCTGAAAAATGCTAAGTTTTGATAACAGGTTTCAGAGTGCAAATTTTTGAAAACAATACTGTATGTGTAAAACATGAATTTGTGAAAACGATAATGTCATGCGCATGCGTATAATACAGCGTTTTTAGTCATTTTCATGAGTCTGTGTCAGCGGGGGACGTTTTGACAACAATGTTGTTTGTATGTAAAACTTTTTTAAAAAATGCGAAGGAAAGCCTTTTCCGTTATTAGTGCACTGTTGTCGTGTGAACGTACCCTCATTCACATGAATCTAGAGTTGGAAGTGAATCAGAAACCAATTTAATCTACATTAAAATTGATGAATCACTTTTTAGCTTTTTGACAGAAGAAGTGTGTCTCTGCTTCTAATATTGGACAGATACTGAAAAACGCTAATATTGGTACGAAACGTTGTGCATCCCGAGAAACGCGAAGTTCAAGATAACAATGAAAAAAGGTAAAGGAGTTTGTAAAGTTGTAGTACCGTAAGACAGCCATGTTTGGCAGTTCTCGTCTGGCTGTGGAGAGCTGCTGCATTGACTCCTGATGGACGGCTCGAATGTTGCGTCCAACACACACGGTGTACTGCAGCGGCATGCGCTCCATACTGGGCGGTGTCTGCAAACAGTACTGCTGTCTGCTCTCTATCCCTACATGAAGAGGGATGTTCGGGGCCACTAGAACTGACACACCTTTAAAAAAAACAAAAACAAAAAAAGCTTTGTATCACCAGTGGTCAGCTTGGCAAATTTTAAATCCCCAGAATAAATAAAATTTGGAGTTTTGTGACTTTTACACCGTGTCTACACCGGATGCGACAGTTGTTGCGCCGCAACAAATAAAGTCTCTCTACACTGGACGTGACAAAGCGACCATTGCAAATCATTTCAATTTTGTGACAGCAGTTTACTGTCTGGGATTTGTCGTGTCGCGCCGCATCCAGTGTAGACAGCATCACTGATTATAGTCCATGTCTGCTAACTGTGAAGTCATCTATATATTAGTGTACTTCTAAAATGCGCAAATTAACCAAACAGTTGACAGTAGATATTGACTTCCATAGTATGGAAAATACTATGGAAGTCAATGGCCGTCAACTGTTTAGTTACCAACATTCTTCAAAGTATCTTCTTTTGTGTTCAACAGAAGAAATAAACTCATACAGGTTTGGAACAACTTGAGGGTGAGTAAATGATGACAGAGTTTGAATTTTTGGGTGATCTATCCCTTTAAGACATGCTTTTTGGGGGGCATTGAATAATGACACAAGGACCAGTAAATCACCTCTTAGAAATTGTGCATCTGAAAGGGACACTCCTACAAATGCATATACAATAAGGTCAGATGCAAAAATAACTCTGTCCGTCCCATAGGAAAGAAAAATCAAAAGTGAGATCTCTTTAACATCTCAAATGTTTCTCCTAGACAGAAATTAGGTTACTTTAAGATCGAATGGAGATTTTAGCTTGAGTCTCCTGCTTCTCAAACTTGTCTCCTGAGGCAAAAACTCTAACAATATCACAATGGTCTCCTTTAAAACTTTAGAAGAGATCTCAACAACATCACACACTGTGCTCAGATTTTTCTCCTTAGCTAAAGACTCTGGTGGTCTCACATTTGTCTCCTCAAAAGTTTAGATTCGAGATCTCAACAACATCACACACTGTACGTAGATTTTTCTCTTTAGCTAAATAATCTGGGGGTCTCATAATTGTCTCCTGTAATGCTTTAGAAGAGATCTCAACAACTTTACAAAGTGTGCATCAAGTCAAGTACTTGAAAGGCACTACATAAAGGGGGGAAATCATAAATTCAGAGTTAAAGGCTATATTGAGAGAGAAATTATGCAGAAATAAGGATAATGTTACTTTTTATAGGACAATGTTTATGTACTTAGGCACATAATTTGTTTTTGGAAATAATAATGTAGCGGATGCATTAATCAAAACTGATCTATAGAAAATGTAACCCTGGAGCTTTCTTTGCTGAAAGGCACATACATGGCTTATGACTTATGACTTATGACTTGATTATTAAAGGGGTCATATGATGCTGCTAAAAATAACATTATTTTGTGTATTTGGTGTAATGCGTGTGCATCGAGTCAAGTACGTGAAAGGCAATAAATAAAGGGGGAAACATCATAAATTCAGAGTTAAAGGCTATATTGAGAGATAAATTATGCAGAAATAAGGATAATGTTACTTTTTATAGGACAATGTTTATGTACTTAGGCACATAATTTGTTTTTGGAAATAATAATGTAGCGGATGCATTAATCAAAACTGATCTATAGAAAATGTAACCCTGGAGCTTTCTTTGCTGAAAGGCACATACATGGCTTATGACTTATGACTTATGACTTGATTATTAAAGGGGTCATATGATGCTGCTAAAAATAACATTATTTTGTGTATTTGGTGTAATGCAATGTGTT